ATTTATTGTAGAGATGAAGTCTTGCTGCCCAGGCAGGTCTCGAACCCATGGGCTCAGGCAATCCACTCACTTCAGCCTCCCAAAGGCGCGGGATTACAGGCTATCGAGCCCGGCCTAAATTTTTTTTTAAGTTTTTATTTTAAAGATGTGGGGTACAATTCAGGATTAGGTATACAAATGTTCATTATGCAGGTACCCTTGTTGATGAGGTGTGATTAGCTGGGCACTGCGATGCACGCCAACCCCTTTCTTACTGTATTATGATACTTGTTCAAGGTCTACTTATGAATGAGAACATGTGGTACTCGGTCTTTGTTTCTGTGATAGATCATTCAGTATTTGCACACTCTAAGTTCATCCAAGTTGCTGCGAAGTTCATAATTTTGTCCTTCTTTTATGGCTACGTAATATTCCATTGTGTATACTTACCACTTTTTAAAAAAAATCCAGTCCTCTTTTGATGGGCAGCACTGTTGGTTCCATGTTTTTGCTATTGTACACCTGCCTAAATTTTTTGATTTATTGTAGAGATGAGGTCTTGCCATGTTGCCCAGGCTGGTCTTGAACCTCTGGGCTCAGGCAATCCTCTTGCCTCCACCTCTCAAAGTGCTGGGATTACAGGCATGAGCCACTGCACCTGGCCGCTCAGCTTTAAACACAGCAAAGGCAGGGAGGTGGGCCCTGCCTGAAGGGTGCGGTTGAGCATCTAAAGTAACCTGCCCCTCCTTCATCTACCTAACCCCACTTCCCGCTCCCCTTTCACTTACCCACCACCACCCTGTCCTCTCTTGTCGTCCATCCATTCATCAATGTGTCCATCCAACCTAACCATTTATCCTTTTGTCAGCTGATTGGCCAACTGTCCACTTATCCGTGTGTCCATCCGCTCTCTCATCCCCTTTTATCGAGTCATGCACTGTCTGTCTAAGTTGGTTTGTTAGGGTTACTGTCATAAAGCACGCTAGACAACAGAAGTTTAGTCTCCCATAGTTCTGGAGGCTGCAAGTGTAAGGTCAAGGTGTCCACAGGGCTGGTTTTCCCTGAGGTCTTTCTCCCTGGCTTGCAGACGGCCACCTTCCCATCATGTCTTTGCATGACCTTTCCTCTGTATGCTTGCTTCCCTGGTGTCTCTTCCTCTTCTTATAAGGACACCAGTCATATTGGATTAGGGCCTACCTGTGACATCATTTAACACCCTCTTTCCAAATGCAGTCATATTCCGAGGGACTGGGGGGCTGAGTTTCCATATAGGAATTTGGGTGGGGAGGACGCAATTCGGCCATAGCACTGCCCGTTCTATTTTTTGCCTTTATATGATCCCACCCTCCTGTCTGTCTGTCTGGCCACCCACCCTTCTATCTGTCCATCATTCATTCCTTCTTTTATCAGTTCAGGAGTCTGAAAGACAATATAGTAGAGTGGTTGAGAGTATGGGCTCTGGAGCTTGAATGTTCTGTTGCTTACTAGCTGTGTGTCCTTGGTCAAGTTTCCTAATTTCTCTGTGCCTAATCTATTTACAGATTAGATTAGTTTTCTAATCTGTAAAATAAGGATAATTAGTGAGGCACGGTGGCTCACACCTATAATCCCAGCACTTTGTATCTGAGGCGAGAGGATTACCTGAGCTCATGGGTTTGAGTCCATCCTGGGCAACATGGAGAGACCTCATCTCTACAATAAATAAGAAAAATTAGCTGGGCGTTGTGATGCACGCCGGTAGTTCTGGCTACTTGGAAGACTGAAGCAGAAGGATCACCTGAGCCCAGCAAGTTGAGGCTGTGGTAGCCGTGAGTGTGCCACTGCACTCCAACCTGGGCAACAGAGTGAGACCCTGACTCAAAAAAAAAAAAAGGATAATAACAACCATACTTTTTCATAGGCTTGTTAAGATTACTTAATACACACAGAGCACTTAGTATGGCACCTGGTACATAGTAAATGTCATGGTAACTACATTATTCGTGTTTCGTTATTTTTGTTGGTTGATGATACACCTACCAGTTTTTCCTTCTCTCTGGCCCTCTGTCCATCCTTTGTTCCGGCCCACCCTGGCCGAGTGCCAGGCACTAGGCCAGGCTCACGGTAGCCCTGTGTATGGCCCAGTGGAGACTGTGTGGTCCCAGGTGCTGAGGGAGAAGAAGCAGGCAACGGAGCGACTGGTGTCACTGTCGGCCCAGAGTGAGAAGCGGCTGCAGGAGCTTGAGAGGAATGTGCAGCTCATGCGGCAGCAGCAGGGGCAGCTGCAGAGGCGGCTTCGTGAGGAGACAGAGCAGAAGCGGCGCCTGGAGGCAGAGATGAACAAGCGGCAGCACCGCGTCAAGGTCAGGCTCAAAGCCTGGCAAGGCTGCTCTCTGTCCAGGGCAGGAGGTAGGGCACGTGGCGGCTCAGCCATGGGAGCCCAGGCAGAGTCTCGCCACTCCCAGTCATCTGACCTCATGAAGTAGGTCCCTTAGCCTCTCTGAAGATAAGGGGCGTTACAGGAAACTCAAGGGTGGAGTGAAGCCTTCCTAAGATGAGGTGTAAGGTGACTGCATCTTGTAGGGGCTTTATCTAAGTGTTGGTGTCTGTTTGCTGGTCCCCAGAGAGACTTGTGGGGGTGAGTCTGGGGTCACAGAGCTGTCTTGGGAATCTTGGGGCAAGCACTCCTGTGGGCTTTGGGGCCATTGGCAGGCTCTGGTAAGACGCTGGCACCATGAGCATCCCTGCCTACTGAGCTTCCCCACCCAGGAGCTGGAGCTGAAGCATGAACAGCAGCAGAAGATCCTGAAGATCAAGACAGAAGAGATCGCGGCGTTCCAGAGGAAGAGGCGTAGTGGCAGCAATGGCTCTGTCATCAGCCTGGAGCAGCAGCAGGTGGGGCTGGGCGGCGCCCGTACTCCAAGAGCTCCTGCAGCCTGGCTGAGTGGCTCTGGCCAGTGCCAGGGTCCCCGGGGGCTGACTGGTGGGTGTACCCTCCTCCCTGTTGAACCTTGGTGATGGCTCACACAGCCGGAGGTGAGCACTGAGCTCCCGCTCCACCTCCTCGCTTTCCCTCAGAAGATCGAGGAGCAGAAGAAGTGGCTGGACCAGGAGATGGAGAAGGTACTGCAGCAGCGGCGGGCACTGGAGGAACTTGGGGAGGAACTCCGCAAGCGGGAGGCCATCCTGGCCAAGAAGGAGGCCCTGATGCAGGAGAAGACCGGGCTGGAGAGCAAGCGCCTGCAGTCCAGCCAGGTGAGGCCCTTTCAGGTGAGATCCAACCAGGCGAGGTCCATTTACGTGCGGTCCAGCCAGGAGCGATCCTGCAAGTGAGGTCCTAACAGGTGATATCCCTGCCAGTTGAGGTCCTGCTAGGTAAGGGCTAGCCAAATGAGGTCCCTCCAGGTGATAACCCTCCCAGGTAAGGTCTGGCCAAGTGAGGTCCCGCTGGGTGACAACCCTGCCAGGTAAGGGTTGGCCACGTGAGGTCCCTCCAGGTGATAACTCTGCCAGGTGAAGTTCTATCAGGTGATGTCCCTACCAGGTGAAGTCTAGACAGGTGACATTCTTCTAGGTGATGTCTCTGTCAGATAAGTTCCAGGTGAAGGTCTGTCCTACTGGGTTATATCCTATGGATCCTCAAGAATTCTAGGGCTTTAGGATGTTTATGACATTGGTGCCGATAGATGGGCAGAAACATCTCTCCCAGCATCCATCCTCGTCATCTCACTCATTAACCACCTATTCAGGGCCTTTGCCGGAAGAATAAGGAAGAGCAGGTACAGGAAGATGGTGTGGCCAAACAGAAAGAGACTCCTCCCTGCATTGTTACTCCTTTTTGGATTGGAGGATCAGCTGCTGGGCCACAGCTTCTCTTCTGTCAAATGGGATCATAATGTTGCCATGAGGATTAAAGGGGGCACAGCAATCAGAAATGCAGAGCGTGCTCTTGTGTAGGTACTCGGGCCGGATTTCCTGAGTGTGCCAGACCCAGAGAGGCCAGGAGCCCTGCTCCTACCTGCACGGCGCACTCTGACATCCAAGAGGGTTGAGGATGCTGCTGGAGGAGTCCTCACTTCTCTCAGCCCTCACCTCCTCCCACATCCGGCTTCCGGAAAGGCCTCTGGGGTTTGGCCACTCATTTTCCATAATTCCTACCAGCCTTCAGTCCTGCCGTCTCAATGGCAGGTCATTCCTCAGCCTCTTCCTCTGTCCATGTGGTCCCTTCTTGCCAGGAGGGCCTCTTCCCTCTGCTTGTCCATAGCCTCCTCTGGGCCATCTCTGGGGGCGCCTCCTTAGATGCTCCCCAGTTTCTGTGAACTAAGGCCTCCCCACTGAGCAGAACGTGGGGATTGTAGATTTCTTGAGAGAAGGACTGGTGTCATCCCTCCAGTGACTTGGCTAGACCTTTGTCACCCTTGTGAGGCGGTGCCTGTCCCTTTCCTAATCCCTGGCGGTGCTGCCCCAGGCCCTCAACGAGGATATCGTGCGCGTTTCCAGCCGGCTGGAGCACCTGGAGAAGGAGCTCTCTGAGAAGAGCGGGCAGCTGCGGCAGGGGAGCGCCCAGAATCAGCAGCAGATCCGTGGGGAGATCGACAGCCTGCGCCAGGAGAAGGACTCGCTGCTCAAGCAGCGCCTGGAGATCGATAGCAAGCTGAGGCAGGGCAGCCTGCTGTTGCCTGAGGTATGCCTCACGGGTGGCCTGCCCGGCTCAGCCTCTCTGCTGCAGCCCTTAGCTCCCTTGCCCATCTGCCTGTCTCCTCAGCCCCCTGCTCTAGCTCTTTGTGGGTGCTGGGCCTTGCTGCTTGTGGACACACCATTTCTCTGTATCATGCCTTGCAAGATGGGGGTACAGGCCAGGGAGAGCTGCCCTGGCCCTTCTACCCTCTGCCATAGCCCCCTTGTCTAGGACACAGGGGCTAGGCTGTGCTAACCTTAGTTCCTTTCCAGCTGGATCCTGGACTCCTGTCCTGCGACACACGGGAGCACACACTCGCATGTCTCAGCTCTGCATGTGGGGCTGAGCGTTGGGGCAGAGTCAGCGTACCCTGTGGCCCACATATATTGACTTTCCCTGAACAGAGAGGCCTATATGAATAGTCACGAGCCACATAATGACATTTTGGGCAATGACAGACTGCATACGCGACAATGGTCCCTTAAGTTTGTAATACCATTATTTTTACCTTGCATTTTCTGTCTAGATACACCAATATTCACCATTGTGCTACAGTTGCCTACAGTATTCGGCACAGGGCATGCTGTACTGAATTGTAACCTGGGAGCAATAGGCCTCATAGCCTAGGCGTGCAGTAGGTGCTACCGTCGAGGTTTGTGTGCATGCACTCTGTGATGTGTGCACAATGACGGCATCACCTGATGATGCATTTCTCAGAATGTGGCCTCATCATTAAGTAACGCATGAAGGTATAAACTTTCCTAGCAGACGCTGTGGTGACTCTGGCAATCCAGCCATGCCTTTTGTTTGGGTGTTGTGTGTTCTGAGCAGGTTTGCACTTGAGCAAGCAGCCTTTTAGCAGTGCCCCACTCTTGCCCCAGGTTGGGCTGTGACAGGGAGGACACCTCTCTCTTGATGTGCTAACTCTGCTATCAAGACAAGGGGACTCTTAAGGATCAGTGTTGGCTGAGTGTTGGCTCTCGCCTGTCTGCTGAGGACTGTGATGCTCAGGGAGTGGGTGCGCTAAGGGGTAGGAAGCCCAGTACTTGCCCTCCACGCATGCTCCTGTCCTCGTAGGAGGAGCGGACACTGTTCCAGTTGGATGAGGCCATCGAGGCTCTGGACGCCGCCATCGAGTACAAGAATGAGGCCATCACATGCCGCCAGCGGGTGCTTCGGGCCTCAGCCTCGTTGTTGTCCCAGTGTGAGATGAACCTCATGGCCAAGCTCAGCTACCTCTCATCCTCAGAGACCAGAGCCCTACTCTGCAAGTATTTTGACAAGGTGGGTCAGAAGCCTCTAGGAGCCCCCTCACTTCTCCAACTCGTGTCAGGGAGGTATCTGCTGGCAACTCAGCAAACACCCCGTTTCCTCTGGGATGGAGAACAAAATCAGGACCAACTTATTGCTGAAGCTGCCTGACTCCTCTGGTTTTTGTTGTTGTTTTGTTTTTGAGTTGGAGTCTCACTCTGTCACCCAGGCTGGAATGCAGTGGCATGCTCATGGCCACCGCACCCTCTACCTCCTGGGCTCAGGCGATCCTTCTGCCTCAGCCTTCCAAGAAGCTGGAATCACAGGCATGTGCCACCATGCCCGGCTAATTTTTTGATTTATTGCAGAGATGAGGTCTCGCCAAGTTGCCCAGGCTGGTGTTGAACTCCTGAGCTCAGGCAATCCCCTCGCCTCCACCTCCCAAACTGCTGGGATTACAGGCATGAGCCACCATGCCCAGCTGCCTGACTCCTTTTTAAAGCCTATTTTACCTGGCGAAGCTAAAACCCAACCTCCACCCCCTTTTTCAGTCTGATTGCCTAACTTTGGGATGGCCCTTGGCTAGATGAGTGGCTCACAATGAAATGGTTTTGCCCTGGTTGATCCACATGTGGTGGCATTTGCAGGTGACATTTGGCCATGTCTGGAGATACTTTTGGTTGTCAGAGAGGTAGGGGTGGAGGCTGGGCATGCTACTAAAAGTCTTGTAGTGCACTGCACGGGCCCCCACAACCGAGAATTATCTGGCCCCAAACATCCTTAACACCAGGGTTGGCCTAGATGCAGTTCCCCAGCTGGAGGCTCCGCCCACAAGCTCAGTGGTATTTGGCTAGGGAAGGATTTGTGGCAGGGTGCCAAATATATTTTGCTGATTGGAAGTGGCCACTAGAACATGGCTGAGAAGGCATCTGAGGCCAAGTCTGGGCTCAGTAGGAGATACCTGCTGATTTCTTAGCAATGTGGCAGCAGGTTTGCTAGCACTTATGTCCCTGGTTGAAGACCAGTGGCAGGGCTGAGCCTGGCTGGGTCTTGGGACAGGTGGTGACACTCCGAGAGGAGCAGCACCAGCAGCAGATCGCCTTCTCGGAGCTGGAGATGCAATTGGAGGAGCAGCAGAGGCTGGTGTACTGGCTGGAGGTGGCCCTGGAGCGGCAGCGCCTGGAGATGGACCGCCAGCTGACCCTGCAGCAGAAGGAGCACGAGCAGAACATCCAGCTGCTCCTCCAGCAGAGTCGAGGTGAGGCCGCCCCGGCCCAACACACCTGCCCGTCTGCCCGCCCGGCCCATGGGCCCTCACCATTCTCTTCTCGGCCCTTCCACCCTAGACCACCTCGGGGAAGGGTTGGCAGACAGCAAGAGGCAGTACGAGTCCCGGATTCAGGCTCTGGAGAAGGAACTGGGCCGCCACATGTGGATCAACCAGGAACTGAGGCAGAAGCTCGGCAGCATGAATGTTGCAGGCCAGGGCAGGGGTAATTCCTCTCTGCTGCCCCTGAGCCAGACTGTACCTTGCCCTGTCTTCCTCTGAAGTCAGGCCTGTTCTACTTTGGGGAAAGCTTAGAAACCACCCTCACCTGAGCTCTGACGGCTCCTTTCACAAGCTGCTGATCGTGTGGGGCACTGGGAGGTTAGGCCAGTGGGCAGGTGTTGGCACCCGTTTCTGACAAGGACACATTCTTTTCTGTGACAGGTGGGGAGAAGAGGAGCCTCTGCTTGGAGAGCAGACAAGCCCCTGGCAATGAAGAGGAGCCCCACCCGGCACCTGAGCTTCTCCGGCTGTCCCCCCTCACTGATGGGGCCCCCCGTGCCCGAGAGGAGATGCGGGATTTGGTCCATGTGCCATTGCCCTTGACCTGGAAACGCTCAGGCCTGTGTGGCGAGGAGCAGGGTTCCCCGGAGGAACTGAGGCAGCGGGAAGCAGTTGAGCCCCTTGTGGGGCGGATGCTGCCTGCAGGTGAGATGGGACTGCCCTGGAACTTTGGGCCTTTGCCCAAGCCCCGGCGGGAACTACGGAGAGCCAGTCCTGGGATGATTGATGTCCGGAAGAACCCCCTGTAGCCCCTGGGGCAGACCCTGCCTTGGAGGGAGATTCCCATCCTGCTGAAAGGTGCTGATGCCTGTTCTGCTTCTGTGAAGAACAGTCCTTACCTCAACACCCTAAACCCAAACTCTCAGCTTTACACGAATTGGAGTCGACAAATTTGGGTCACAGCCCAAAAGAGCTGGACTCTCAGTTTTAAAAATAATATGCGACCGTTGCTGTGGCTCATGCCTGTAATCCAGCACTCTGGGACACCGAAGTGGGAGGACTGCTTGAGTCCAGGAGTTTGAGACCAGTCTGGGCAACATAGTGAGACCTTGTCTCTATAAAAAAAAATTAAAAAATTAGCAGGGCATGGTGGTGCACACCTGTAGTCCCAGCTACTCGGGAGGCTGAAGTGGAAGGATCACCCGAGTTCAGGAGGTCGAAGCTACAGTGAGCCATGATTGTGAGTGAGACCCTGACTCAAAACAACAAAAAACCCCAAATTCCTACTGTATACTTCCTTTAAACTGCAGTTATCTGATGGTCCTATAAGCCACCTTTTGATTTGCTCAAGAGTTTCAGGACAATCCTGGTTTTAGGTGTAAAGGTATATGCTTGTAGTTTTGGGGTTCAGTCAAGGTTTATTGCAAGATGGTCAGCAGCAACTGTGTAGTGGTTTAAAAGCTCTTATGTATATAGGGGGAACTGGGAGACTTAGCACATTTTTAGAATCTTATAAAACCATTTAATAAACAATAAGCTCTGAAGGGAGAAATGGGAATTTTGATTTTGTAAGACAACAGGAGCCAGATTGGGGAACATATCAGGCTTGAACCCTGTTTTGAAGCTGAGACAGTTCTGAGTCACCCTTGCTGTGAGCCAGTTGGTGGGTCCATGGGGCACTCCAGGTGGAAATCACAAGCCTGGTGATGGCTCCCCATGAACTGGCTGACTCAGGCAGACCTTCCGGTGTGGCTGCTCCAGACACCACTAGTGCTGGGCCACCATCACAGTTCACCTCAGGCTGGAGCACCAGGCAGGAAGGTACTGAATGCTGAGTAGCTAGAGATGATTTTATTGTCACACAGGGAAACATGTCTTCTGCCTCCAGTGCAGTCTTCCATTTCACATACGGGGCTTCACGGTTTGCAAAGTGCTGTCCATGTCACAGTGACCCAGCCTTACAGCTGCTCAAGGGACCCGAGGCAGGGCTCCTCTCTCCACTTCCACAAGCGAGGCACAGGGTAGCCTTCGGACTCACCAAGGTCACAGCTGGGGTGGGCCTGAACGGGATGCCGGTCTTTGCCTGAGTGAAAGTACCAGCTACACCCGCCATCTGCCTCACCTCCTGCAACCCAACAAGGGGCAGCGCCTGGGAGTGGATGGATTCCAGATGGGGGCCTGAAAGCTGACCACGGTAAACAGGCTTGGGAGCAGGCGCCCAACTTCTTTACGCTTGTGGGGTCCTGGCTGATTTCCCCTCCATCTTGTGAGTTCAGTAGTGTTTGTGGTTATAAGTCCTCAGTCAGGTTCCAGCCTAACTAGCTAATCAGCTTCTTCCGTGTGTAAGTCCTGCTGATGGGGCGTCTCCTGGAGAGTGCTCGGCTGAAAGGAGATTCTTCTGTAGTGGGGGGGAATATATCCACATCCTCATCTAGAAAAAGGCAGAAAGATAGCATGGTAACTGGGGACTGAACCAAAGAAAATGGGCTTAAACTGCAGAGGATGACACATACAAGTCAGCACTGCTCAGAGGTTCTCGCCCTGCAGAAACACTCCCTACACATTGCACAAGGTCCTCTGCCCTCAGCAGTCATGCTCTGATCTGCTAGCAGGGAAGCAACTGGAAAAATAGAAAGAACCTGTGGTTTGAATTTCCTGTTTGCAAGTTCTTTGTTGCTCTCAGATCTGTGGGGTTATACTGTTTTGCATGATTTAGATCATGGTCTTGAGGGAAGAGAACACCTGAAGGCCTCTACCCTCTATACCCCCCCTTCCATGCCAGCGGAAGGAAATGTTTCCAATGGTGCAGTGAATAGGCCAAATCCTGTTCTGCCAGAGGGGTCAGGATGGGGAATCCTACAGTCTGAAGGCTGATGACTGCAGTCAGTACTGCATCATACCGAATGCAGAGCCACACAGTTGTATGTCATGGAGAAATGGCTCTCAATATGCCCTACTCAATGCTGCTCAGAGCACCTTGTGGTGTGGATTCTAGGACTCCAGACGAGTAGTATGTGTGTATATGTGTGGATACAGACGAGTAGTATGCCCACCACTGTCACCTCCAGAAAACCTAGGTTATTTTAGGAGGACTCTGAGGGTAGAATGTCTCTGGGAAGGGCACATGACACTGCATGCACAAGAGCACACACTTGGCATTCCCAGGGCTCCTCCAGGGAGTCACCCACGAGAGGAGCCTAATCCTGGACCTTTGACAAATTACCTCTGGGGTCTTTGCGCTGAGAGGAAGGTGTTCTCCCCTGGAACAGCAGTGGAGACTGGGTCAGAGCCTGGAGACCACTGGCAGAGAGGCAGCTCCACATGGTACAGCTGGGAGGCGGGGTGGAGCCTAAAGAGATCCCACATGGTCAGTGCAGCCCACAGAGCCCCAGACAGGGAGGCCTAGGCCTTCCCGAGAGGCAATGCCCGATGCCGCCTGGCTAAACACTCTGCCCAGCAGAAACCCCATGGCAAGTGGGTTTCAAAACCAGACTTACCAGATGCAAACACCTCATCATCTCCCATGGAGGGGATCTGCCGCACACTGGAACTTGGAGACCTCTCTTCACTCCTACTCACTTCAGAATTTTCTCTTAGGCTGTTACAGATTCTTTTGGCTTCACCCTCAGCTTCTTCCTTGGCAGACAGCAGTCTCTTCCTAGAATTTAACCCAAACTGTTCCCACGAGGCTTCCTCAGCCTTAGGCATACTGTCCCTGGGAGGCGACTGGTCTGGCAGCTGACATACTCCCTCGAGCTCGAAATCCTCTGAGACAGGAGTCTTGCGGATGCTGAGTTCAAGGCCTTGCTCCTTTCCCTCGGGCTCCAGCAATGACAGGCTCCCAGGAAACTCAGTACTGACCTCACCCCTCCCAGCAGAGGGGCCGGCGCTGCAGCCCACCGCTCTCTTCCTCCTGGGCCAGTCTTTGATTGTGTCAGGAGTTGTCTTCCCACTGTGCTTGGGGGATGGTGTCCAGGGAACCCCAACATCTGTTTGAAATGGAGAGGAGGTACTAGAGGGGCAGCGGGTAGGGGTGCAGGCCTGGCAGATGTAGGTTTGCCCCCTGTTCTTACCAGGTGTGCTGTGGGAGAGGTGGAGGCAGGGGGGTGATGTGTAGGTGGGTTCGGGTTTGCTTGAGGACCTGCTGCCCCTGGGCATGCCAAGAGTGGGGAAGAAGCTCTCCTCGCCCAGAAAGCTCTCCTCCTTTCTGAGGGGCTCAGCTTCTAACAAAGAGCTGGGATCTACCTTTTTAATTCGAAGCTTGGGAAGGCCAGAAGCTTGCATCTCCAGCTCAACCTCATAGGTCTGGGGGCTGGCAGTGGCTCTGGAGTGCCTAGCTGATGGCTGCAGGTTCTCTAGTGCTGCGGCCTGGCGCTGCCTTCTGTCTGTGGTACAGCGCAGGTCATAGGAGGCCACCAGAGGAGAGCTGGGCCCAGAGGAAGGAGGAGATGGAGGGATCCCGGGGTGAGACAGAGAAGGCTTCTCATCAGCAGCCACTGTCCTTAAGCCCTCACCTTTTTCCACCAGTGATATGGTACTTGTCAAGTTATCACTGCCATGGTGGTCAGTTTCACTGATGACAGTGAGATACTCTGTGTTATTTGTGATGAGCAAAGGAGAGGATGCTTGCCAGTCACTCCCAAAACCAGTGCTTGAGTAACTCCATCTTTCTGAAGGAGACCAAGGAGTCACTCCTTTCTGGTCCTTTCTAGAGTCTCTGATGGTAGCTGGGCTGTCAGCTGTGCCAACCCCAGGAGCAGTGGGGGTGTCAGGCTGGCACTCCAGGAAGCTCCTTTCAGTATTAGAGGTCTTTCTACATCGCCTCCCCATTTTGGAAGGGGGAAGCGGGGGGATGATGTCAGATGTAGCTATCTGTGAGAGTTTGAGAGGTGTTGAGGGAACAGGATAGGAGAGAGATGTGTCTACACTGGATGGCATCTGGGGCTCTTTCCAATCCAGTTCTCCAGTGGGAGGAGATGCTCTCAAAGATTTCCTAAATGGACTCTTCTTGGAAATATTACCTAAAGCAGAGGTAAATAGTTTCTGTGGAGTAACAGGTGGGGAAGAAATCGTAGTTGAATTCCCTGGCCTCTGTGGGGTTTTGACAGCTTTCTCCTTTAGTTTCCGAGTTGGTTCCTCTGCCTGGGAAGCTCTGGGAACATGAGGCTGTTGGTATTTTTGGTTTGGAGCTATGCCCATGTAGGCCACTGTTTTCCGAGGTGTCCTGAGAGAGTATCTGCTGGGAGTCAGACACTCAGTCCCAGGTTGGGCAGTTAATGGAGCTGGGGATGCTGGGCAAGAGGAGCTGTCTGGGCTGGAATTCACTGAAGGCAACCAAGCACAATTCGGCAAAATCCCAGATGCCAGAGCAGCTTGCCTTTTGGGAGTTCTTGGTGTCTTCATCTCAAGAGAGGTACCTTCTCCTGCCAGGGAGTATCCTTTTTGAGGAGTGACTTTTGATTCTGACAGTGAACAACAGCCTTGTGAGGAGTCTTTTAAGGACTCTTTAAAAAGTGCCTGCCTTGCAGGTGACATTTCTGAAGGGGATTTCTGCAGTCTTTCTGAAGTGAACAACGGAGCTTGTAGTGTACGAGGGAACCGTCTTGGTGTAGTTTTAGGAAAGCCTGGAGATTTCCAGTGATTCTTTTTGGGAGTCTAAAAAGAAGAAAAATGCTTATTTCAGTGCACATGTTCGCTGAAAAGTGTTTTAGTAATCTCTGAGACCAAATGGAAGATTTATAGTCAGCCAAATAAATGATCTGGAGATGGAAATTTCAAAGAGTGACCCATTTCCCTCTTCGAAACATGACTCAGATTTTACTTGTCCATTTTTTCTAGGACCAAACACTATATCCAATTTTAGTTCATTCTCCTAAGAACAAATCATTTGAATAATCTGCACACTGCTGCACCATGCTTTGCCTCTCACTGAATCATTCTACCACTGCAGCTGTCCACTAGCTCTTCCCTCCCTTCTAAGATGATGTGTCAGAAAAGACACTTCCCAACACAAAAATTGTCCTTTCTTCTTGCAAAAAATGGAGTAAAAAAAACCCCAACAGGTAAGGAGGTCAAACTCCTATCTTTTTTTTTCTTTCTTAAATTCCTATCTTTTCTACATCCTCACTTGATCATGTTAATACTTGATGGTTGGCATTTCATGTTCAGCGGGGTACAAACAAGTATAAGTACAATGCAACCAATATAATGACAGGGACATGCAAGGGGCATTATGGAGCACAAGGGAGGACTGCCTAACCCGGCTAGGGGAGGGGAGGAAGGAACAGTGAGTCTGGTCTTCAAGAATGGGTGTCAGTAGGGGAAGGTGAAGGCTGGAAAAGTAGGTGGGGAGGGACTTGATTGAGGCATAGAAACAACATGAGCATAGGCACAAAAGGGAAAGCTGAGGTCAACCAGGCCAACAGGGACCAGACCTTGGAGGACCCTGCCTGCCTAAGGGAGGAGACTGGCCTTGGTTGTGTAGGTCTATGGTTTTCAAACCTCTAAGCAACGTACTGGGTTTTCAAACAAAGATTATTTATTTTTCAACATGAGGGTTCCATGTTAAAAACACCTAGAAAAACCTTGCCTTAGCAGATGTGGAGTCTGCACAGTATAAGCGAAATGAACACTGTAAGCAAAGTCAGAAAAATGTTTCATAAAGATCTTTCTGACCAGTGGGTGGTAGATAAAGTTGAAAGGGAAAAGGCCGTTGAAATGTTCCAGATACAACTGAACTAGGCAGGAATTGCAGGGATGGAGAAGGGGGGTGGGTACAAGAGTCAGTTTGTAAATAAAATGGACAGGACTTGATTGCCTGCAGAGAGAACCAAGGATGATTCCCGGGTTTCCAGCATGGGTGATTTGACCAAATGGGCAAACAGAAACAGATGAGTGACTGTTACTGACAGTGACTATTATAGAAAGACGTATGTGTGGTGTATATCATAAATGGTAGATGAAGACATAAGTATAGATGAAAGCGTCTCTATCTCTTCCCCTTGCTGTGGCCTCAGCCAAAATTGCTGCTTTAAATTCCCACATACCCAACAGTCACTCATGTGGCTCCACCCGACCACCCTAAATCTCTGTTATCTATCTCTAGATCACCTGCTTTCTCTTCCCTAGTGAACTCTATGCTCCTTGGTCATGTCTCTGTATTCCATGAGACTATACTACTTTAAATGTTATAGAAATGTTATACCTGGTAGGATGTAAGTAGCTCTGAATCCAACATACTTCTTGAATGTCTTTTAATTTGGGCCATACTCTTCTCTGAGGGGCTGACCATCTCAGATACTGCCCCAAAAAGAAGCCTCTTGGGAGACTGAATACTTTGGACCGGAGAATTTTCTCTTTGGTCTGCAAGTCAAAAGCAGCAACATTTAATTCTTTCTCAACTCCTGCCCTCCCACTACTATTAAAACAGCCAATCTATTTAAGACAATAATTTTTCACAGCAACAAGGAGGAAAATCCCAGCTAATTATGCCAGCAACTAAAATGATTGCTGACTTCCTGAATTTTAATAAGACTATTTAACCCCAGCTCCTATGTTAGAAAATGTAGGCAACTGAAATAATTTAATATTTACATATAAAAATATATCTATTAGCCAAGCTAATCATAGATAAAGGAGAATGAAGAACATAAAAACAGATTATCACCTTCTACCTAAGACACTTATGAGTAGGATCTGGCCATATGGTGGAGATTCTAGGTAACTTCCTCTTGAGTGACTGACCTGCCTATAATGATAGTGTGGATGACCAGCTGTAGGAATTCAAGGGTTTGACTGATTACAAGGGCCAGGATTGTTCATCTAGACAGTCATCACCCTGAACCTCAACTATACATACTTAGTCCAGTTCTCCAATGCCAACTTTCATGCTTCTTTTCCCAAAAATACTTCCTGCCAAGTCAGCACAAACTTGTGAAGACAGATAGGGCTACATGTTACCTGACTTTTCTTGATGGAATGAGTGGACTCTTTGCACACTTCGAGACTTTGGCTGAGACGCAGAATAGAAGGAGCCAGAATGTGTCTTGCTAAATGACAACTGCTTGATTCGAGGACTTCGTCTCAAATTTATTTCTGTAAAACCAGAATACAGTAAGTAAGTAGGGAGAACTATAAGCTTGACATTTTCCCATGTTGTCAAAAATGCACAGAATTTATATAATACTACAGTCAAGACAGAAATTCAACAAGCTATTGGCTTTAAGAGACTTTTGAAGCATCTCTAAAAAATGCTAAGAGGTGGCTGCATGTGGTGGCTCATTCCTGTAATCTCAGCATTTTGGGAGGCAGAGGCAGGAAGATCACTTAAGGTCAGGAGTTTGAAACCAGCCTGGGAAACATAGCAAGACCCCATCTCCACAAAAAACAAAAAAACAAAACACCAAAAACATCAGCTGGGTGTGGTGGTATGTGCCTATAGTCCTAGCAACTTGGGAAGTTGAGGCAGGACTGCTTGAGCCCAGAGATTCGAAGTTGCAGGGAACTTGATTGCATCACTGCAAAACAGCCTGGATGACAGAGTGAGACTTGATCTAAAAAAAACAAAACAAGCCGGGCTTGGTGGCTTAGCCTGTAATCCCTCGCCTTTGGGAGGCTGAGGTGAGTGGATTGCCTGAGCCTGCAGGTTCGAGACCCACCTGGGCAACTGGGCAACTTCATCTCTACAATAAATCAAAAATTAGCCGGGCGTGGTAGTGCGCGCCTGTAGTTCCAGCTACTTGGAAGACTGAGATGGAAGGATCGCCGAAGCCCAGCAGGTTGAGGCTGCGGTGGCCGGCAGCAACCACTGCACTCCAGTCTGGGCGACAGAGTGAGACTCCAACTCAAAAAAGTAAAAAAAATTAAAAAAAAAAACAACAACCTGTAATCTCAGCACTTTGGGAGGCCAAGTCAAGTAGAGTGTCTGAGCCTACAATAATTAAAAAAACTTTGCTGGCTGTGGTGGCACATGCCTGTAGTTCCGGCTACTTGGAAGGCCGAGGAGGAGGATTTTGAGACTCTACCTCAAAAAAAAAAAAGTCCAAAACAAAAAAACAACAACAACAAAAGACCAAGAGGGGTTTGATACTTTCAGAAATCTCATAAATGTGACCTTTAAGAATTCTGCTTGAGTTACTTACTACTCTTCAGCTCAAGCCCACTCCTATCTTTGGAGTGTACTGTTTGTTGCTTTTGCTTAATAAACTGTTCTTTGCTTTTGGTTAAAAAAAAAAAAAAAAAGCCACCAAAAAGAATAGAAACGGTCACAGCTTTGTTTGACTCCATGTTCTTGAGCTACTCTTCAGCTCAAACTCGCTCCTGTCTTTGGAGTATACCATTTGTCGCTTTTGCTTAATAAACTGCTCTTTGCCTTTGAAAAAGAAAATTCTGTAGGGTGAAAAAAAAGGTATGTATGCTAGGTTTCATATGTATATGTTACATACATTTGTATAGAAATACTAGCAGTAAGTGTATGTGCTAAAATGTTAACAGAGTATTTCTGAGTTATGGTATTACCAAACTGTAAAATTTTGGCTTCTCTGTACTTTCTGATTTTTCCACAACAAACATGAATTACTTGAGCAATTTAAAAAAGAAGTTAGCTTTTGAAAATCCCTCCTTCATCATGCAAAATTTAAAATAAACCACAGCACTTTGTATAACATGTTAGTTTAAACCTCACCCTGAATTCTGTATTTATTGTGTGTAAAATTATTTTTCCTCCAGAAATTCTCTCAGCAAATTCCGTGTAAAAGAGCAGAGACTTATAAATAACCTACTGAGCTACATGTGGACCTAGAGCCATTACAATTTCTGTAAAATATTTTAGGATATGCCAAGTAACAATAAAAGTACAGAAAAGTTTTCACAGAAGGTAGATAGAATGCACACACACAAAAAGGTAATACCCACCATCTCCTTTTTCAGGGGACTCTTCAACAACATCAATATCAGGACCAGAATCAGAGGACCTTGAGGAATAACATGCACCACAAGGATTATTCCATATCACTTGTAATTAATGCACATTTAAGAGAGAAGCAGCTTATCATTTAACAAAGTAACAAAGATCACAGGATTTGATTAACACCAGTGTTGATAAGTACTCTCACACATGATTACTCTAAAGAGTGAGATGCTTAGAATGTTTTTTTAGAAAGCAACTTTACAACATCAGAATTAATTTAAAAATAGGTTAATCTTTTAAATTCCATTAATGTACTTAAAAATTATACCTAAATATCAGATTGCCACAGTAATGAGTAGCAATATTCAAGTTTCTGTTTAACAGCCTTAGTTTCTGCCAATTTGTCAAGGACTTTATTTAAAAGATACATATGCCTCTGACACATCAGTTTCATTTTTGCAATTTATCCTATACACATTCACAAGTGTGTAAAATCCATATACAGATGATGTCAAGGTGGATTCTTGACAAGATGAAGTAGGTGCACTTCTCCCTATTCCCCTTGTCAATATAGCAAAACCCCCTCAATATGATATGTAAAACAAACAGAAGACGACAGTGAAAGGTGGGGAAAAAAAGCCAGACTGGCTGGGGCCCTTGGGACCTGAGAAAAGACTGGGTAGTGAGCTACCTGTGTTTTCTTTGCTTGCATATATCCCAGAGCGGATGCTGGGAAAGTGGACATTCCAGATATATCAACAAGAGCAGACAAAAAATGCCCCAAGGAAAGACAGCTCTCTCGAGTCAAAAAAAGGGCAGTCAAGTAAGATAAAACTTTCCGACAGTAACTGCCCTGCTCCAGTCAATTGCCGTGGAGAAAAACTGCAGCCCAACCTACACCTCCACCCGCAATGGCCAAGTTGGGATCCCCGACTTCCACCCTTCCCCATGTCAACAGATTGAAAATATTATGGGCTATCCATTCAATGGAATACTACTGAGCAGTAAAATGGGATGAGCTACTGCATATAACAATATGGATCAATCTCAAACTAATTATGCAGATGAGAGGCCACACAAGAGTACGTTCTATGTGGTTTTCCTGCCCTTACAGAGTTTATAGAATGCTCTTTGGTTATAAGCAAAATAGTTAAGATTTAAGTCATGAAGTTCAAGAGAAGGCAACCAGTGACCCACAAGCTCATCATGAAGGTAGTGTGGGTGTATGAAGAAGCCTGGACAACATGTCACTTACCGGCCCTTGATTTGTCTATGAAGCAGCCTTCTGGAGATTTGTTTATGTATTGGAGTCTCGGCCACACTCTTAGTCAGCAGTTTGTGATAACCTAAAATGCAAAAATAGCTTAAATTATAAATTTCACTTAACCTTATCAAGAAACAGTAGTAAGGTAAAGGGAGCAGTTTGAACTTCTATATGGCTTATTAGCTAGCTGGAGAGGATTGTTAATGATCTTTGGGCTAAGTTCCATACTTACAGGACTCAACATGATAGAACAGTTTATCAGCACCATTAGAGACTAAATAATGACATAAGCCAATGTAAATATTAGCTGGAGCCTGACTGGACACTTATATCAGCCTGGAAGTACTTGATGAAGGGAGAGGCTGCTGATTTTCAGTAAGGGAATGCTGTGCATGAACCAGCTACCATCCCTCTTTCCTCAGTCCCTCTACAGCTGCGGGGCTAGCAGCCCATATTCCAGGAGCAGCTGGCTGGTGCTAGGGCAGACAGTGAGGAATTTCTCCTCGAAAAATCTGGGGTTCTGTGGTTTGGTCAAAACGGCAGATCTCTTTGAGAATGGTGCAGACACTGTCTCAGTTTTCAGCCCTCTCAGGATGCAGCAATTTCCCCCCAAAAATCTACGAGAGGCTAGGCTCGGCAGCTCAGCCTGTAATCCCAGAACTTTGGAAGGCTGAGGCAAGTGGATTGCCTGAGCCTGCGGGTTCGAGACCAGCCCGGGCGACTTGGCGAGACCCCCTGTCTCTACAATAAAAATGAAGAAAAAAAAAATTAGCCAGGCGTGGTAGTGTGCACCTGTAGTTCCAGTTACTTGGAAGGCTGAGGCAAAAGGGTTATCAGAGCCCAGCAGGTCAACCCTGGGGTGGCTGTGAGCCTGTGTGCCACTGCACTCCAGCCTGGGTAATGGAGTAAGATTCCAACTCAAAACAAAACAAAAAAACTACCAGAAGATTTAAAGAGACAGGAACACCTTTTTCCCCCCCTCATTTTGGAGGCAGACATTTAAGGAAATCTGTGTCAGGTCACTGACTGACTGATCAGAGAGATAGCAGAAGCTTCAGTGACTACACACAAGGAATACATACTTTACAAAAATAGTTTGGAAAAGACATAAATGAACAGCTGCAGCCCTCCATAAGCAAAGATCACCATTCCTTGAGGGGTAGCAGAACCTGATCTCCACAGTTACCACATTATAATACTGCATCTCTAATAACTAATTCTCAACAAAAAATTCCAAAGTATACAAAAAAACAGAAAAGTATGACCCATTCACGCAAAAAAAAGAATTTGGCAGAAACCATTCTGAAGAAGCCTAGATATTAGAATTATTATGTTAAATCAACTTTTCTAAATTTGCACAATGAACTCAATGAAACCGTAGATAAAGAACTAAAGGAAATCAGGAAAACAGTGTATGGACAAAATGAGAATGTCAATAAAGCAACAGAAATTATAAAAATAAAAAAGACCCAAACAGAAATTCTAGAGCTGAAAAGTAAAATAACTGAAATGAGAAATTACTAGAGGGGTTAAATTGCAGGTTTGAGGTGGCAGAGGAATCAGTGAACTTGAAGATAAGGCAATTAAATTTACCCAGTCTGAGAAAAGAAAATGAAGAAAAATAAATAAAGCCTGAGGGAACATGTAGGATATCATCAAGCATACCAACACATGTATAATAGGAGTCCAAGAAAGAGAAGAGACAAAAAAAAAAAAGTAGCAGAAAACTTTTCTGAAGAAATAATGGTTGAAAACTTCCTAAAGCTGATGAAAGACATAAGCATATATATATCCAAGAAGTTCAATCAACTCCAAGAATAAACTCAAAGCAACCCACACTGAGACACCTTATAGTCAAACTATCAAAACCAAAAGACCTTGAAGAGAAATCTGGAAAGCAGCAATAGAAAAGCAGCTTAATAAGATGAATAGTTGATTTCTCACCAGAAACCTTGGAGACCAGAATCAGTGGATGACATATTTAAAGTCCTAAAAGAAAAAGATGCTGTCAACCAAGAAGCCTATATTCTTCAGAAATCAAGTAGAAATTAAAACATTTCTAGATAACAAAAGCTAAGGGAGTTCATTACCAGTAGATCTGCCCTACAAGAAAAGCCAAGGGAGTGCTTCAGGGAAAAATGAAAGGATATAAGACAGCAATCAAAAAACAATAGAAGAAGAAACAAACCAACAAACAAAAACAATGATAAAGGTAACTACATAAGTATATATAAACACCACCATTATAATATTTTTATTGGCAGCTCCTCTTTTTTTCCTACATGATTTTAATGGCAAATGCAGAAAACAATAACTATAAATTTATATTAACAGGCATACAATGTATAAAGATGCAATCTATGACAATAACAATATAAAAGGGTAGAGACAGAAATATGTAGGAGCAGAATGTTTGTATACTATTGACACTAAGTTGGTTTTATTCAAACTAGGTTGTTTTAAGTTTAAGATACTAATTGTAATCTCCAAGGTAACCACTGGGAAAATAAAAAAATATACAGAAAAAGAAGAAGGGAATCAAAATAGTATATTACAAAAGACCAGCTAAAAAAAAGGCAGTAGCAGATGAACTGAAAACCAAAATGGCATAAAATATATAGAGGACAAACAGAAAATGGCAGATGTTGTTTCTTATCAGGAATTACATTAAATAGAAGTAGATTAACACTGCAATTAGAAAAGCAAAGATTGGCAAAGTGGATTAAAAATGATTCAACTATATGCTATCTATAAGAGACTTAATTTAGCTACAAAAACACAGGTTGAAAGTAAAAGAAAAGCAAAAATATTCCATGCAAAAGAAATGGGGTGTTATATTACTGTCAGATGAAAAAGACTTTAAGCCAAAAAAGGTTACAAAGTACACTATAATTAATAAGAAGCTCAGTTGATCAAGAAGATATAACAATTATAAGCTTACATATCTAACAACAGGGTATCAAAATACACAAAGCAAAAACTTACAGAACTGAAGAGAAAAAGATAATTCAGCAATAATAGTTGGAGACTTTAATACTCCACTTTCAATAATTGATAGAACAATTAAACAGAAGCTCAATAAAGTAACAGAAGACTTGAACAATATCATAAACCAACTAGACCTAACACACATCTATAGAACACTTCTGTATGCATAGAATATACATTCTCCTCAAGTACACATGGAATATTCTCCAAGATAGGCCAAATGTTAGGACATAAAACAAGTCTTAATAAATCTAAAAAGACTAGAATCATACAAAATATGTTCCACAACTATAATAGAATGAAACTAGAATCAGTAGCAGAAGGGAATTTGGGAAATACAAATATGTGGAAATGAACATGCTCCTAAGTAATCAATGGGTCAAAGAAGAAATCACAAGGGAAATTAGAAAATATTTTGAGATGATGAAAACAAAAACACACCATACCAGAACCTTGTGGATGTAAGTGCCTGTATTAAAAAAGATCTCAAATCAATAGCCTATACATCATCTTAAAAACTAGAAAAAGAGCAAACTAAAACCAAAGCAACTCGAGAAGGAAATAAATTAAGTTGAAATTAGCAAAAAAAAAACCAACAAAAAAACCCCACAAGGAAACCAAAATAAGTTCTTTACAAAGATCAACAAAATTGATGAACTTTTAGCTAGACTGACCAAGAAAAAAGAGGGAAGACTCAAATTGCTGAGTCAGGAAATAAAAAAGGGACATTACTACTAATCTTACAGACAGAATCTCCCCTTCCCTTTTCTTAGTTACCCTGAAATATGGTACCTTTGGTCTTCTTGAAGTTGTCAAATTTATACTCTAGACCTTCCACAGCTGACACGGAATGGCTTCTAGGCAACCCCCGCTTTAATGGTCTCTTTGAAGGGGAAAGCATCTTCTGGTTAAAAAGATTTCTTCGAACTTTGGTCACTTCTGAAAGTATAAAAAAAAAGAAGAGGAGGAAAACCATAAAAAGCCAAATACAATCATTATCACCAATAAATGCCATATCTGAGAAAAGAAAGATATTCAAAACAGAGGTTGCTTAAGGAAACTACTCTATAAACCAGCAGACCCCAAACTTTTTGGCATCAGGGACTGGTTTTAATAGAACACAAATTTTCCAGGGGAGCAAACTATGGGGATGGGGGGAAATGTGCAGTCAAACTTCACTGCTAATGTATATTATTTGCAGGAGGTAGAGGTCCAGTGTCATTCTTTTGCATGTGGACAGCCAGTTGTCTCAGCATCATTTGTTAAAACAGACTATTCATTCCTCCATTGAATTGTCTTTGTGCCCTGGTCAAAAATCAGCCATGATAAATGCTAGGGTGTTAATTCTCTTTAAAATTTCAGGTAGAATTCAACAACAAAGCCATTTAGTCCTGGACATTTCTTTGTAGGTAGTTTTTTGACAACTCAGTCTCTTTACTTTTTAGAGATCTATTTTTTCTATTTCTTCTTGAATCTACTTTCAGTAGTTTGTCTTTCTAGACATTTGTCCCTTTCATCTAGGTTATCTAATTTGTTGCTATACAGTTGTTCTTAGAATTCCACTACAAACTCAATTTAAATTCAACACTTCAGGAACACAAGGAAGGCCCATGTCACTTGTTAAATTAGAAGCTTTACTCATTGTAAAATGGACAGAATTTTGAAGTAAAAAGATGGTTAGTATACAAGGGGGGACCCCAAAAATCCCAAAATTTATTTATAAAAAAATTGCATATCTATTCTTTCATGTTTAAACTTCAGTTACCTTCAAAGTACTCTCCCTTTGATGCGATACACCCACCAAGGCGCTTTTCCCACTGCTCAAAACAGTTTTTGAACTCATCAATTTGGATGCCTTTTAGTGACTCTGCTGTTTTTTGTTTCACCTCTTTCACACTGGCAAAATGTTTCCCTTTGATGATATTTTTAATCCAGGGAAACAAACAAAAAAGTCTCTTGGGGTGAGATTAGGTGAATAGGGAGAGTGAGGGAAGGGGTCATGCTGTTTTTTGGTCAAACACTGCTCAATATTCAGAATAGTGTGGGCAGGTTTTTCATGTAAATCACCCACTATGAAATGGACAAATGTGTTGGGAGTTATCTTCAGAAAAATTCACTGAAGCTGAATGCAGCCTCTCGCCACAATGCTAGCTGGTACACTGATGCTGATGGGTTCCTAGAACACTTACCTAGCAGGGGAAGGCTGTACATGAGGGACCTGCCCTCCAAAAGAAAATTTTGGGTTTTTTTGGGTCCCCCCTCGTAAGTCATGGTGCTTTTAATATATTCCAATGTTAGGATTAGTTTTATCATTTTGGACCTTTATGCTACCTTGAATAAGCTCAGCCTTGAGAAGAGAAACTGTTTCAGTTCCACAGATTTCATTCTTTTTTTATGAATACTTTACTAATCTGCTGGGTTATTTTTAATTTTCTTTTTACTCCAAGACATGAGAGTTCTGACCATCTAGACTCAAAGTTAGAAAAAAATAGCTGAGAAGTTGAGGAATACTTGACAAGAAGATACCTTAATGTTAAGCAAGATAGACTGGGAGAGATGATTACAAATTCACCAAGGGTAAATTCTTCTAAGAGCAATCATTTAAATAAAAATTAAATAATCCAGGATCCACAAAGTGGGAACTGCCCTTGTGCTTAGCCATCAGTGACATAAATGTTACTGTTAAGGACATCAATAACATACATCAAAGTTTCAAAAAATGTTTTCCTATCTGTATTTTAAGAATCCCTGTTACCTGACTTAAGTTGTCTATGAAACTGATTTATGACCTGAAAGCCACATTTATTATCTTCTATTTTACCCAATGTTTTGAAAAGTTTAATATCGACAGAAAATTTCAAATAATAAAATAAACATACCAGTCACTAAAATTCACCAACTGTCAATATTGGTTTTCTCCCTCCACCTCTTTCTCTACAAATATGCAATGTTTTCCCTGAACAATGGAGAATAAATTGCAAACATCACAACTATTCACTTCCCTATAGGTCAGCATGTACCTCCTAAGAACAAGAACATTCTCCTACCTAACCTCAATCCCATTATTACACTAAAAATATTTTTAACACTGATACAATATTTTCTAGCATACAGTCCTTCAAATTTCTCTAATTGTCTCAATAACATCCTTCCTAGCTTTCTCCCCCTAAACTTAAGATCCAAGCAAGGATCATGGAATACGTTGAGCTGTCAGGTTTATACTTCTTTCGTCTAAAACAGTTTCACTGTCTCTTTTATTTTTTCTTTCTTTTTTTGGGCTTTCATGATAATAGCACTTAAAAAAAAATTTCAGGTCAGTTGTTTTGTAGAATGCAATATTTTGAGACCATCTGAATATCTCATAGGGCATGGTATTGGACATATTTTATTAACCAACAGTGATATAAAGCCATAATTTATCATTGCATGCAGTTGCTTAAATGCATGCGATTAAAATAAACTTGTCATTCTAGAGAATAAATGTATCCACTGGGAAAACAAAGTATACCTTGTACTGTCTCTTTCACTGGGAGTGGAGGCTGCTGAACAGCAGGATGAGAGGTCTCCTGAAAGATGAGAAAATCCAATAAAAAATGTTGTAAAGACACTCACTGATGCATTTTAATAGTACAAAATAAGAAACACCATAAATGCCCATAAAGAGTGAAACCAATAAATTATACACCCATCCAATGCAGACATTAAAAGAATAAGGAAGGAAGTCCTATATGTACAGGTTGAGCATCCCTAACCTGAAAATCTGAAGTTTCAAAATCTAAAACCTTTTGAGCACTGACATGGCGCTCAAAGGAAACACTCACTGGAGCATTTCAGATTTCTGGATTTGGGATGCTAAACCAGTAAGTATATATAATGGAACTATTCCAAATTCTAAAAAAATCCAAAATCTAAGCATTTTGATATCAAGCTTTTTGGATTACAGATATTCAACCTGTGCTAACATACAAAGAAATCTGTGGAGGGGGAAGGTTTTTTAAAATGCAGAATAATAATATAGTAAGTTAAATAATTTTTAATGTTCATGAATGTGTGTATATAACAGATATATATAAAGCTTTGGTATTTGTTATTGGTATATTCATAAAAGGGCCTGAAAATACACACAACAAACTGTCTTTGGTGATTACTTCTGAAGTATAGATGGAGAAGGGACACTGTAACTTTTAACTTTATATATCTCAACTTTTTTTTTTTTGAGTTGGAGTCTCACTCTGTCGCCCAGACTGGAGTGCAGTGACACGCTGCAGGCCACCACAGCCTCGACCTACTGGGCTCTGGCGATCCTTCCGCCTCAGCCTTCCGAGTAGCCGGAACTACAGGCGCGCGCTACCACGCCCGGCTGATTTTTTGATTTATTGTAGAGATGAGGTCTTGCCAAGTTGCCCAGGTGGGTCTCGAACTCGGGGGCTCAGGCAATCCACTCACCTCAGCCTCCGAAAGTGCTGGGATTACAGGCCACCGAGCCTGGCTTTAACTCAACTTTCAAATGATGATGTATACCTTTTACAACTAAAGAATAAAGTGAAAGCCATATAAATTAATTACAGGGTGACTGTATTCTCAGGAACATCTCTGTATGAAACTGCTATTTACTTGCTACTACAGTAGAGGATTCAAGAGTCTAAACTCCAGATGCATCTAAACAAGGGAATTGTTCTTAAAGACTTTTTATTTGTTTTTTCAATTGTGCCATTGTAGTAATTGAAGAATGAATTACCACACATGGGCAGAAACTTAAATGATTTTAGTGATATAACCAAGGTCTTGCTGGTAAGATATGAAATATGATAATTCTTAGTCATTTATATTGGTTGGTAACAACTCTTTTAGAGAGTTAAATTATAACTGTAAAAACATGTTATACATCCAATTTCCTAATCCAGGGTTTGGCAGACTACAGCATGCAGACCAAATCTGGTCCACCTCTTGTTTTTGAAAATGAAGTTGTACTGAAATGCAGCTATGCCCATTTGTTTACATACCATCTGGTGGCTGTTTCCTCACTACAATAGGAGAACTGAGTAGATGTCACAGAAGCTATGTGGCCCACGAAGGCTAGAATGTTTACTATTTGGCCCTTTATAGAAAAAGTCTGTCAACTCTTGTTAATCCCTATAACTGAAAGAAAAACTAAGAGAGTATATCCAGGAGATATTGGGGCAGGACCAAACCTTTTTTTTTTTTTTGAGTCAGAGGCACATCACCACGCCCAACTAATTTTTTTATTTTTATTTTTTGTAGAGATGAAGTCTCACTATGTTGCTTAGGCTTGTCTTGAACTCCTAGGCTCAAGCAATCCTCCTACTTCGGCCTCCCAAAGTGCTAGGGTTAAAGGTATGAGCCAACATGCCTGGCCAAAACTTTTTTTAGTCATTGTGCTGCTTTGGAGTGGTTATACAAAGACATTAATATACATTAATGTTAATTAATATACATGTGTAATTAATATTATGTGTCTACACTTAAGGTAGAAGTTCACTACTCCTGTCAGAGAAAAGTTTTATTCTTTTAAAAACTTAACATCTGGTCCTTTCAGTTAAACAACTGTCAGTTATCTAAGGTATTGAATTTGAGTGAAAAAACTTTAATAACCAAAACCAAACCCTGATCTCAGTAAATCTGGTTCTTAAAGAAGCAAACTACTGCCTGGGGAAGGTGTGGGGACACACCTCATCAACGAGGGTAACTGCATAATGAATATTTGTATACCTAACCCTGAACTGTACCCCACAATTTTGAAATAAAAAATTTAAAAGTTAAAAAAGAAAAAAGAAGCAAACTGTCTTGGCCAATCTAAAACAAAAGTTTCAAAGAGTGCTAGAAAGATCTGCAAATTATTGTAAAATCTAGTGGGAATAAAGGTCTGGCAGCTTTTGGCCATCTACTTGTGGATTTTGAACTCTTCAATCAGGATTGTGAGATACCTATGATTTGGATTGTATTCACAGGTAAGGTTTAGTAAGAAAGTGAACGCCAATAACTCTTTAAAAGAAATCCACCTCCAGTTCCAAAGGACAGCTATAAATATCCAGAAACAGAACAAACCGCTATTGTAATGATTAATGCTTCTAAAGCTAGTTCTCATAGAATTTTAACTCTTCCCAGATAGTTCACTCAGTTAAAAAGTTTCATTGCATTTTTCTCCCTTCTTTCCTTAGCAAGTCATTACTTTCACTTAATAAACAGATACCAGCAGGGCTTCTTTTTGCAACCAATAAAAACCTCAAGTCCTTATATCCACTGCCATAGAAAACCCAATAATAATAGTCCCTCCTCATCCTTAGTTTCACTTTCCAGTTTGTTTCCCACAGTCAACCATGGACTGAAAATGGATAAATATAGTACAATAAGATATCTAGAGAGGGAGAGACCACAATCACATAACTTGTATTATAGTATATTTATCATTAGCTATTGTTAATCCCTTACTGTGCCCATAATTGAACTTTATCATAGTTATGTATGTATAAGAAAAAATAGTGGCTACAGGGTTCAGTACTATCCACGGTTTTAGGCATTCACTGGGGGTCCTGGAACATATCCCCTGCATATAAGTGGGACCACTGTACCACCTGGCCTCATAATAGACTTCTTTTTTAAACTTGTTATTGAAGTAAAACATAATATACTGAAAAGTACCTTCTGGTATGCAACCAAAGTCCTTTTATAATTGCATTTCATTTTTCAGTGACCTCTTGGCTTTTTAAATTATTGTGTTATGAGTTTTCTTATCTACATTAATGATTGAAGTAATAATGTATTTATTCCTAACTTTTATTTGCTGTTTTTCTTTATACTTCCTTTAACTATCACACTCTAGGGTAAAATGGTTAATTTTCTAACAAATTTATATTTCTTTATTCCTCGAATGAGTTTTATACACATTTGTAAAAAATACTTAATATTATTTCTGTATCATCCAAAGTCTATTTCCTAAAAGTAGACATTACCTTTCATTCTTATTTGTTGTATTCTCAAGCTGGAAGGAAGAACTCTGTTAGTGCCAATTCTTGTACACTGGTGCTTACTTACTTTTTTTGTAGTTCTCTTAGACACTTTGGAAATTTCAATTTGTCGAAGATTCTGTGAAACCTCAGCAATGCTTTTATGTCTTATTAACGCACTTTTCCTTTTAAAAATAGAAAGAAGCAGTCAAGACACACTATATAGCAGTTACACATAGTTGGATATGAATGGAACTAGAGTCTAAAATAAAATATTATTTAAATAAAAGCCAGTTATCTTGGGTTTGGTCTGGATTTATAACAAAATAAGTCTACCCAGAATTTTCAAAAGTAATTACTGTAAATTCAGCTAGTTATAGACAATGAAAAGCATCAAGGGAACTCTAAAAAGCAAGCTGAAACTCTAAGCTTATATCATAAAAGCCTCCTAGTTTGGAGACTTCCCGTGGACAGTGAAGAAGGGCTTTGTGAACTACAAAATAAATTCTATATAATCAAATGAGACTTGGTTCAGTGACAGACCTCATAAACGATGGTGGCCCCATAAAGCTATAACAAAGCATATATAGAGAAACCTGTTGATATATGGCACTTAAGTGTTGGAATTGCAGACAGAGTAGGGGAAATGACTGATACTCAGTAGTAACAGTGCTGAGATATTGGGTTTTACATATAAAATACATATATAAATAAAAATATATATGCCAACTAGATTTCTGTAAGTATACTCTGATGTTTGCACAATAACAAAATTGCCTAATGGTGCATTTCTCAGAACATATTCCTATCATTAAGCAACACATGGCTGTATAGTTCCTAGATAATACAGTGTCAGAATTCCTTGTTAGAAACTCCAATAGATGGTTTCTGTGATTCAGACATACAGGCAACCATCAATTCAATAAATTATTTGGAAATAGACAACTGGACTATGGTTTAAATACTCTTTGTCAGAATTATAACTAATAGTGCAAGTAATTCCTTTGATTCCTTAAACTCCTACCTTCTCTTCTTGGCTGATCTTGTACGCAGTTCTTCCAGCTGGTCAGATTCAGTGCCTCCAGACACTGACCCATGAGTACTTGACAAAAGAGGCACAGAAAGAAGAGGTGATTTGCTCTCTTGTGTCATGGAGTCATCACTGAAAAAATCTGTAGGAAGGACACCAGCCAGCTTCTGAGGAATCCTAAACCCTAAGTTGTTGTAAAGATTTCCAAGTGTCTTTGGGATAGAGTCAATATACCTGTGGAAAAGATTGGTTAAATATGGAACAGAGAGTTATTATCTCTCGCTCTCTATTCCTTCCCTCACCCAGCATGAGAAATAGTCCTTACAATTGCATAATTCTGAGATAATATCACATGTAGTTCCTGAGAGAATAATTTTAAAGTTAGTAGCCATCAAACTTACAATGTAAGAATTTCCTCCAGAAACGTTGCTAGATATGCTGAACCCTCAGTTAAATACACCATGCGCAGCAAATCTGTCACCTGAAGGAGATTTTAGAAAATTACTCTCTGCCGGGAAACTGAAAGCATCCAGGGCATATTCCCAATGGCACTAAGCTGGATACTTGCCTCCTCCACTATTTGCTCTATATCGTCTGTACTTTCATGTATTGAAGAGCACTGCACACACATCTCCAAACGAAGAAATATCTGAAGCTGGCAACTTGAGAGAAAAAATACTGTCATATCTACTTTGAATGCCACTTAACAGAAAGTTCCTTCCTTAAGCATAGATCTAGTTATATAAGAAACAACCAAAAAGAAGAGTCAGTGCCTTCTCTAAATACTGACATAGCTATTAGATGAATAGATGACTCAAATTGCACACTGGATCATAAGAATCCGACATAAAACATCTTCAAGCAATCTATTTCTAACTGATACAAGCAAATTAGAGCTTTGTCTTGGGTAATAGTTTTAAAAAAGGAAGTTACTTACTCTCTAACTTTGTCTTCCTTATTCAGGTTTTGTCCTATATTCTGTCGAAGACTTTTGCTAGTTTTTAAGAGGTTACTTTTTATTTGATTCAGGCAGTCTACCTGAAAATACAAAAGTATTACACAGGAGAATATTAAGTTACTTATAATTTATTTTACATTTGACTAATGCCCTAAGAGGGGAAGTACATTTCCTTATAAATTTCCCTCCTTTCATTTGAATAAAAAAGAGTGAAATGAATATTTTTCTTTATATCTTTAAAAAGAACACAGTAAAAAAAAAATTTGAGAGCACATGGGCATGGATAAAACAAGCCAGTAGATTTAAACTGTCTTGAAAGGAATGTTCCTCCAAATAGTGATTAAGAAGGATTATAAACATATCCTCCTGTTCACTTTAGAGAAGCTCAGCTTTTGCCACTGAACATGAATGAAAACGATAATGTGGTCTAAAACAGTGGTCTGCAACACTCCCAAGGAATAAGACTCATCTAGAGAGTTTTGTTTTTTTTTGAGCTTGAGTCTTACTCTGTCACCCAGGCTGGAGTGCAGTGGCACAATCATAGCTACTGCAACCTCAACCTGCTTTACTCAGGTGATCCCTTTTACCTCAGTCTGCCAAGTTCCTGGGACTACAGGCATGTGCCTGGCTAATTTTTTTATTTATTGTAGAGAGGATGTCTCTCCGTGTTACCCAGAGTGGTCTCAAACTCGTGGGCTCAGGCAATCTACTTGTCCCAGCCTTCAAAGTGCTGGGATTATAGGTGTGAGTCATTGTGTTCAGACAGGGAGCTTTTTTAAAGTACAGATGCTCAGATCCCAATCCCAGAGACCTTTTTCAGTTAGTTTAAAGGGAGCCAGCCATCATTTTTTTTTTTAATGTTCTATTTTATTTTTGAATTGAAGTCTCACTCTGTAGCCCAGGCTGGAGTACAGTGGCACCATGATTGCATACCACAACCTCAACCTCCTGGCCTCAGGTGATCCTTCTGTTTCAGCCTCCCGAGTAGCTGGGACTGCAGACATGCAACCATGCTGGGTTAATTTTTAGATTTTTTTGTAGAGATGAGGTCTCGCTATGTTGCCCAGGCCGGTCTCAGACTCCTAGGCTCAAGCAATCCTCTCGCCTCAGCCTCCCAAATATGCTAGGATTATAGGTGTGAACCACCATACCTGGCAAAAATGTTCCAATTAATTCTAAAGTGCATCTAGGGTTAAAAAAACCGCTGGTCTAATTCATGCAGCTAACATGCAGCTCAAAGGGGAGAGGAGCTTTCTTTTCTTTTTTTTTTTTTTTGAGTTGGAGTCTCAGTCTGTCGCCCAGCCTGGAGTGCAGAGGCTGCTTCCGGCCACCGCAGCCTCAACCTGCTGGCTCCGGCAATCCTTCCGCCTCAGCCTTCCAAGTAGCTGGAACTACAGGCCCGCGCTACCACACCCAGCTAATTTTTGATTTATTGTAGAGGTGAGGTCTCGCCAAGTTGCCCAGGTGGGTCTTGAACCTGCAGGCTCAGGCAATCCACTCACCTCAGCCTCCCAAAGGCGCGGGTATACAGGCTGAGCTACCAAACCCGGCGAGAAGAGCTTTGATTAGGAGAGAAGTATATGTGATTTTTCCCCATCACCCTGTTTTTTTGATTTCTGCCTTACCAGTTCACCACATCCATCTTCCAAAGTTTAGAACTGTACTCATGCCCTCACTCATCTTATCATTTTTGAATCATGTACAGAATAGACATTTTCCAAGACACAAACCAAATCCACTAACAACCAACCAACCACTATATCTATGACAAAGAACAACATCCAGACTCTTACTTCTAATTCCTTGGTGCCTTTTGATTTTAGAAACACTTTAACGGTTGAGATTATGTTCTGAGCGCATGAATACAACATGATTTCTCCCGTGGCCACGGTCTTTTGGTAATTTTCATGTATATAAGATAGTAGTTCCTCCTCAGTTTTAAAATCTGTAGAAAAAAAATTGATTAGCACCTCTAGTTCAAATCTTTGTACTGTTTAAGCCACTGGCTATCTACTATGGGAGATTTTTGCCTCCCAGAGGACATTTGGCTATTTCTGGATTGTCATGACTGGTGTTGGAGGGGAAAGGTTACTGGTATCTAGTTGTAGAAGGCAGGAATGCTGCTAAACATCCTACAATGCATAAGACAGTCCCACAACAAAGAATTATCTGGTCTAAAATGTCAATAGTGCCAAGAATGAGAATACAGAGATGCAAGTCACTTACTTATAAATGCTACAAATTTAAGGGTAAGAAGAAATAAAACTGCTTTATTCAGATGACATGATTGTCTATGTAGAAAATCTGAAAGAAGCAACAAGAAAACTCCTAAAACTAACAAATGATTATAGCAAAGTTAATACCTAAAGTCTGCTGTTTTCCTATATACCAGCAGTGTACAAGCTACATTTAAAATAAAAAACACATTACCACTTACATTAGCACCCTCCCCCACAAAAAAGTGAAATACCTGGGTATTAAATCTTAATAAAATTTGTACATGTGAGTAAAACTATAAAACTCTGTAGAAAAAAAAATCAAAGAACTAAATAAATGAAAAGCTAGTCCATGTTCATGGAAAGGAATACTCAATACTGTCAAGATTTCAGATGTTCTTCCCAACATGATCTATAGTTTCAATGCAATCCCAATCAAATTTCCAGCAAGTTATTTTGTCGATACTGACAAACTGAGTCTAAAGTTTATATGAAGAAGCAAAAGACCCAGAATAGTTAACTCAATATTGAAAAAGAAAAACAAAATTGGAGGACTGATACTACCTAACTTTAAGACATACTATAAAGTGATAGTAATTAAGACAGTAAGTGTAGTATTGGTGAAAGAAGAGACAAATAGATCAATGGAATGAATATAATAGCAAGCCCAGAAATAGACCCACATAAGTATAGTCAACTGATCTTTGACAAAGAAGCAAAGGCAATACAATAGACTTTCAACAAATGATGCTCAAAAAATTGGAAACTCATGTAGAAGCAAAAATGAATCTAGACATAGGTCTTTCATCTTTCACAAAAATTAACTCAAAATGGATCACAAACCTAACCGTATAAAGCAAAACCATAAAACTGTGAGAAGATAACATAGGATAAAATCTACATTATCTTAGGTTTGGTGATAACTTTTTAGATACAGCACCAAAGGCATGATCCATGAAAGAAATAATTGATAAGTTGAACTTTATTAAAATTAAAAACATCTGTTCTGCCAAACATATTGTTGAGAGACTAAGATGAGAAGACAAGCCACAGACTGGGAGAAAATATTTACAAGAGACACATCTGATAAAGGACTGTTATTCAAAATACACAACAAAAAAAAAAATCTCTTAAAACAACCTGAATTAGAAATAGGCAAAAGACCTGAACAGAAACCTCACCAAAGAATACACACAGATACCAAATAACTATATCAAAAGATGTTCAACATCATATGTCATTAGGGAGTTGCAAATGAAAACAACAGTGAGATATCATTACAGACTTATCAATATGGCCAAATTCCAAATCACTGACAACACTACATGCTGTTGAGGATGTGGAGCAATAGGAACTCTCCTTCATTGCTGGTGGGAATGCAAAACAGTACAGCTACTTTGGAAGAGAATTTGGCAATTTCTTACAAAACTAAACATACTCTAAACTATATTATTCCAGCAATCGTGCTCCTAGGTATTTAACCAAATAAAATAAAAGTTATCTTCACACCAAAAAACCTATACATGGATGTTTATAGGAGCTTTATTCCTAATTGCCAAAATTAAAAGCAACCAAGATATCCTTCCACAGTTGAATAGATATATAAACTGTGGTACATCCAGACAGTGGAATATTATTTAGTGCTAAAAGGAAGTGAATTCTCAAGCCATGAAAAGACACAGAGGAATCTTAAATGTATATTATTAAGTGGAAGAAGGCAATCTGAAAAGGCTACATATTGTATATAATAATTCTATGGTGTTCTGTAATTATATGATATTCTAGAAAAAGCAAAACTATGAAAACAGTAAAAAGATCAGTGGGTGCCAGGGGTTAGGAGGGAGGGATAAATAGGCGGAACACAGGGAATTTTTTTTATATTTAGGGCAGTGAATGATGCCACCTATACTACAATGGTGGTTACACACGATTATACATTTACCAAAACCCGTAGAATGTACAACAACAAGAGTAAACCCTAATATAAACTGTGAACTTTGGGTGATAGTGGTACATCAACATAGGTTCATCAATTGTAACAAATACACCACTGCAGTGCTGGATGCTGATAGTGGGGGAGGTTGGGAGTGGAGGAGGGTACACTGAAATTCTTTTTACTTTATGCTCAATTTTGCTAAACCAAAGCTGCTCTATAAAATAAAATCTACTAAAAAAATTAAGGGTATCCAACTTAATGAAGAAGAAATAAACTAAATAACCTCCAAACCTAGCAGAAGAGAAAAATAGTAATAAAGAAAATTTGATTAATCCCATAGAATACTGGAAAAGAAAGAAAAATCCCAAATAAAACTTAAGGCATAAAGTTATTAGGAAAAAAATAAAAGGAGTTATTACTGATTAACAAGAGACTCAATTACAAGGAAGATATAAGTGATTATGATCTTGTATGAACCAAAAAAGAAAATCTCAAAATATATGATACAAAAATTGTAAGGAAATTTCGACAAACCTACATGGTGGAAGACTAATACAATCAGCTCAGTTGTAGACAAAAGAAGCAGAAAAAATTACTAAGAATGCTGAATATTCAAACATTAATAAATGATGTATGGACATATAAAATTAGGTATTCAACAATTAGAGAATGCACATTATTTTCAAGTACACAGGAATATTAACAAAATTTGACCACATATCAGACAAGAGTTTCAGCAAGTTTTTTTGTTTTTTTTTTTTTGAGTTGGAGTTTCACGCTGTGGCGCAGGCTGGAGTGCAATGGTAAGCTCACGGCCACCACAGCTTCAGCCTGCTGGGCTTGGGAGATCCTTCAAAGTAGGTGGAACTGTAGGCATGTACCACCATGCCTGGCTAATTTTTCTAGATTTATTGTAGAGAAGAGGTCTCACCAAGTTGCCCAGGCTGGTCTCAAACCCTGGGCTCAGGAATTCCTCTTGCCTCCACCTTCCAAAATGTTGAGATTATAGGCGTGAGCCACTACGCATGGTGTCAGGAAATATTAAAGAATCTTACAGACCACATTGCTTGAGCACAGTCCAAAAATATTAAAAGCTGATTATAAAATAAAACACTCCTTTATATTATGGATGTCAGAAAATATTTAGAATTAACTATCAGTGAAAATAGAAAATAGCAAACTTATATAATGCAGCTAAATTTATACTTGAAGGAAAATTTTAGCCTTTAGACTTAAATGATTATTTTTATAAAGAAAATAAAATTAAAAAACAATTAATTAGCTAAGGGTCCAACACAAGAAGAGATACAAGAAAGTAAACTCAAAAACGAAAAGCAGGCAATAATAAAGATAACAGAAATGAATTAAATAGAAAACAAAGAAGTGGTAGCAATCAACAGAAACAAAAGATGGTTCTTTGAAAAGTCAAATAAAATAGAAAAATCCATGGCAAGATTGAGTAATTAAAAAAGGAAAAAGGCATAAACAATATTAAACATGAAAAATACAGGAAAAATTCAAAATACTATTGAAAGGTAAGGTCAAGTTTCGTTTTTCCATAAATGTATCTAGTTGTTCCAGCATCAACCGTTGAATTACTGGTGCACCTTTGTAAAAAATCATTTTACCACTGTTGTGCAGGTCTATTTCTGGACAGAATGTAGTCCAGAAATTATGTTACTGCCACATTGTCTTAAGTACTGTGCACAATACATGCTCTCTCCTGCATGTATCATCCACATTTTTGCAACCTTTACTAGCTCATTAAACATGTTTTGTCCAACTCAAACTGATTATCATCTATGGATCTAGCATTCCACGGTTGGGGAGGAGGGCAGAATTTTTAAAGGAGCATAAAACTTTTACTCTAGAAGTTTCAAAAGTACTCAAAGTTGACCCACAACTATTGCCCAAAGTTTATAGAGTCAAAAAGTTATAGAGTAACAATAATCCCACAGGACTATTTTTACAACTTTTACTAGCTCATTAAACATGTTTTATCACACTAAAGATGATCCATATCCTCTATGGATCTAGCATTCTACAGGGGAGAAACAAAATCTTTCAGAGTATAAAACTTTTACCTCAGAATTTTCAAAAGTACTCAAAAGCGCCCAAAGTTTATAAGGTAGAGGCACAATCGTTATCCTACAGGATTGACTCTGTCACTGTGAGTTAAGAGTATACTCTGAGAATAAGAAACACACCATAATTCAATATACTTTTTCAAACAAAAAAAGAAAAGAAAAAAGAAGTTGGAAAATAAAAGTTGCTGGACTAAATTCTTCTGTCCACCTTTGAAAGACTGCAATAACCTGGCTCTAGACTACGCACAAACCTTTTTCCTTTCCCTTTATTCCCAAATGCAAAGCTTCTTTACCCACTTGTCCTCTATGGCCAAGCCATGGAGGAATTATGCTAATTCCTCATCTGGAATGCTCTTCTTTTACCTTTCTGTCTTTTTACTCTTCTCATTCTTGGACGTCTAGCCTGGGCTACAGTGGTCCCTTTGAAGGCTTCACAGCTGGCCTGGTTGGGTGGCTCAGCCTGTAATCCCAGCACTTTGGGAGCCCAAAGCGAGTGGATTGCCTGAGCATGCAGGTTCGGGACCAGCCCGGGCAATTTGGTGAGACCTCGTCTCCACAATAAAATCAAAAATTGGCCGGGCGTGGTAGCTCACGCCTGTTGTTCCGGCTACTTGGAAGGTTGAGGTGGAAAGAGTGCCTGAACCCAGCAGGTCGACACTGGGGTGGCTGTGAATGTGTCATAGCACTCCAGCCTGGGCGACAGGGTGAGACTCCAACTCAAAAAAAAAAAAAAAAAAAAAAGAGAATCTTCTGCAGCTTATTCCAGCCCTTATTTCCATCTCTCCTAACCTGGTCTTTACTTTCCAAATGGTCATACATCTTGTATTTTAGACTCTTGACTCTCTTACTAGTTTTAATAGTTCATTATATATTATATATGTATCTATATATTAATTTATTAGTTCATTCATTTTATCTTTGTAGCTAAATCATAAATCTAATAGGATACTATTATTTATTGCATTCTCTGTAATATACTTTTGGGCATGAAGCAGATCTTCAATAAATTAATTAAGGGATACATTAAAACTTATTTTAAAATATGAGGGGTAAAAAAGAGTAAACATAGACTTAGTTGCCAAAATGCTAGAGAATGGAGGAATACCTTTAGGTTTAGAACTTCTTCTTCCTCTGTCTTCTGGTTTGTCTGCTATTCTTGCACTGGCTGTCTTTTGAATCCCTTTCTCCCCAGCTATGTCTGGACTGCCGTCTGGATGTAACTTCTGAGCCTTTACATTCAACCTTGCAACATTCAACATCTTTAAGGAACGGCACATGGTATTCATCTTCTGCCTCACTGGAGTACGAGGGACACCTCCTATCAAAACAACATCAGAGGAAGAAAAGTAAATTACCTTTCCACTTCTGTGGAATCAAGAACAACTTTAATTTCAGATGGTTGTGAAATATCAAAATGAAGTATATCCTTTCAGAATGATCTGAATAGGTAGTTCTTGTGTTTCTTATCTACTCACACACAGGGTAGAAAGACTACCCTT